TGTCTTCTTTGGGTTCAAAATGTCTTTCCTATAGATTTTCACTCGTTCTGAACTTGTTGGTGAAGATTTTTCAACCCAATAATGATCTCAAGGGAGAATCATTTGATTGTCTTACACGATATGAAGTTGAGGTGTGTAGATAATCATTGACATATCTAGTGGTTTCCAGAACAGGAACTTCTTGAACACCTTCTTATACTTTTTCTATTGACGGTATCCGTGTAAATGTTTCTTTTTTCATTCATTTTTTGTCATTTCTTGGTTGATTTTTAGTTTGAATAAGAATTTGTTAACGGGTGATTACTGTTTTTTGATACCGAGTTAAGATGACATACGGTGTTCAATAGTTTCCATTTCACTTAGTGATTTCTAAACCAAGAAGTGTGTTAAATGACAAATGAATTTTGTGAAGTATTGTTTCGACACAATACACATCAAAGGACTATCCATGTCACATTTCATTTGACAACCACATATTTTGATTAATATGTCTACACACACCTACCTTGTCACACGTCTTGTGACGATGGAGTTTCCTGTCCATTTCCGCGTTTATCAAGTATAGAAAAAGCTTTAACGACGAAACCAGTCAACGAGTACATTGTATTTCCTTATAAGTCGCTATATTAACCAATATGCGCATTTCAGTTCTAACTTATACACATAAATTTTGGCGTTAAAATATTACTATGGAAACACCTTTTGGATTACTCCTCTGTTTTCAACAATACAGACGATATCCGGTATACAACGAGTAAGTTTATTCAAATTTGAACATCTAAGTGTATTTCAGTCGAATACTATCTTGATTTGCCAGTTTGCAATTCGAATCGTTCTTTAATAAAAAATTTCATTGACATATAGCTGTAAGGTTAATGGCCATATAGAACCGTTCAACGTGATACGTGTATTATTGTCCGACAATCTGGTTAGACATTATTTACAATTAAACACCATCTACATATACGTACGGAACTATTTTTATCTCGCATTATGAGAACATATAGTTCAACACTACAGTGAGAGCGAAAATCGCCCGGAGGCTGTAAACCAGGAATAACACTAAATCTACACTTTTCTTTCACTATAAAAATCTTGTACCAAACATAAAATAACAAGAGTTCTTATTTTCAAGGGAATACATTGAGTTTATTAATTCAGGTATACTATACTTTCTAACTGATAAAGAATACAAAAATACCAGATGTTAATGAATTTTTAATGAGTTATTAGTATACTTTATTTATAATGCAATTCATTCGTCCATGAACACACATAAATACATAACTGGAAATCATGTCAAAAGAAACGCAATAATTTTAATACCTAATCATCACGGTTTGTCACTGCGTTTACAATACTTGGAAATGTTAAGTGTTTGTACATAAACAGATACCGGATCTCAAATATATGATTAAGTATATGTAAGTTATGAGGTTATCTTGAGCACACACACACACACACCCTCACCCTCACTCACACACACACACGCAACACACACAACAAAACAAAAAAGAAACCGCTAATAATCATATCGTGCAAGGATAAAAAAACGTTTTTCAATGAGATCATTTTGGTGAGAATCAAGTCTTTACCAAACTGGAAACCAGTTGTTGAAAGTTATTTTACATCAATTAAAAATTCACAAACTTATGTTAATGACCATAAGAACACCGTGGAAATGAAGCTCGGTTGCCATTGATCTAGTGAATTGTAATAAACGTCGAGACTGCCATATCGGATGACGAATTAGTTTGAAAATAAAATCATCAGGTCAAGGTCATGGGAATGACTATATATGCAAATCGACAACATTTCAATTGCATATGCTATGGTTACTATCCTCATCTCGACGTACTTTTGTCACATTTCTCCGGTCCCGGCATTTTACTGAATTGCTTGGCTAGGTATATCAGACGGCGGACAGACGACAGGTGATGTACCATGACATGAAATTAGTTGAAACAGTGCATTCTTTATCTGATAGGCCATCATTATTGCCTGTACCGACAATATATTGCGGATGAGAAAACACGTGAAGCTCATATTTATTCATTCCTTTTCCAGACAACACTTTGGCCCTTTTTATTTATCCAATTATGGCATGTTGGAGACATCAGAAACTATGTCATTGTCCAGACTGAAGTAACAAGAGAAGCAACATGCACTATTTACACTGGATAGAGAGAGAGTGAGAGCAATCCGGTTAATGCCATTTGACCTACTTGATCACCAATGCACAGGAATCAGTTCTTCAAACAAAGGTCTTCACGATAGCAACAATCAATACAGTTAACCTTCTTCTGTCCTCTACAAGACATTCATATTGTACGGTATGACTGCGGTCGACAACCGTTCCATCACTCTGGGTATATCTACGATGTATTTCTTTGATACGATTCATTCTGTTCTTAGCTTTCATGTTACGACAGTTTCTGATAGGAGTAGTATGAATAAAATGAAACAGAAGTAACAAAGATACAGCGAAATGATTCAGATTTCCATGGGTTCACTACCACGCAGTATTGGTAATATGTCTACAACGGCACCAGTAGGTGACTAACGGGAACCATGAGTAATGAACGTAGGCGGTGAAACTAATCAATTGAAAAGATGAAATCACAGCAATCCAACAAATCCTACATATAACTATTTTGCAACTCGTATAACGGGTCAAATCGCTCTTCATCAGAAACCCCAGTGAGAATAACTTTATCTAAGACCGAGACGTGACAATGAAAATCGATCAGTTAAGTTGTCAGACCTTTTACCACACTATCTTCTACAAGAAGAAAATGTACACACAATGCAATCATATATTTTACAGAGATGTGTTAATATTGAGTAGAAGCCAAATCGAATGCCTTTTTTTCCAAAGTCAATGTACGAAGCATTTATTGTTATTGGGTTGCATTGGGGTATTAGAACGTTTACTGCATACTCTACGACAGATCTCTTTAAAATTTCTTTCAGAAGCATGTATGATACGTGACGATTTGTGAAATGAAATGGAGTACAATAACTCGTCAATCTCTTTATTCGGGATAAACAAAGGGGACACCCATTCTTAAAATCTCAAAACGAAACTAGAATTAGGATATGAAATGAAATTATGATGACGATATCATTTAGTCTTCTTGTATGTGCTCCCTATCACTTTCTCTGCGTCATGGAAATGACATACATTAAGAAAGCATGAATGTTACGGTCTGGAAAATGGGAGGTCGAACTGAACAAGATGCCAATAGACCTTAGTGATAGACTATCATTTTTAATTTTCATGGGGTCACGATATTTGGTTAAAGTGTTGGCCTACACAACCTCAGTTAACGATCCGAGGTGCGTGGTTCGACATTTCTTATACGTGGTGGTTTGTGTTTAGAAACGAATCGGTTTGTGATGTCTTGAGTTGTCTCCTTTGGCATGACACTTTATCCTAATTGCTCTGGACTGTATGCGACGTGTCTCACGTATGTTGTTCAGTAAGGTAGCCACTAGCTACTTCAAAGCCTCAAGCGATCCGGCTTTTCATTGGGAGATAAATTCAACAAACAAAGACAAACAAACAAGTGAAGAACAAATGTCAGTGGTGTCTTTGATTTCAAGTTCCCGTGTGTTTATCTTATCAACCTGGTTGATATATGTAGCATGTTTTCTTTCGTTTTAATTGGAATATTGGAATACAAAGGTATGATTAGATAACACTTTGGTTCAGTTTACAGGCCTGTCAAGACTATATAAAGCAGTTCCCCGTAATTAAGGGTCTGGAGATATAAAAAAAATATCGCTATAAAAAATAATGCTAACAAGAGAATTCTGATTTACATAAATATTTGTAAGTTTTATTTATCGTGTCTTCTGAGCAAGAGACAATTAATATAGAAGTATTCATGGTCGAAACATCGCCAATAAACAGTATGTCAGTGTTAAATGGTCTGTGTATGATTTTGACTGCCAATACATACAATTTTTTAATGTTGTACACATATACAGTTAAATCTAAAATATCTATTCGATCAGAACCGCATACAGTTTTTCTATCTTAGAAAGGGAGCCCATTAGGCTTAATATAGACAATATCTACGTTGTGAATATGACTAAGTGAATCCCGTTAAGTTATGTCCTTTTATCCATATCAATGTGAAAATGTGAAAAGAAGTATGATATTTTCAAGATGGCGGCTACAGCGGCCATATTGGATTTCGGACCGATCTCCCAAAATAATCAGACTTAGGATTATCTCATGGTCATTTCTGGCTAGTTTCAACTGAATCCCATTTTTGAAATTTCAATGGATTTAAAAATATGAAAAGAATAGGAAAAGCGGATGTGCAAGACGCCAGACACGATGACTATACATGTTGGTCATCCTAACTCTTCGGTTCAAGCGACCTAAAAAGCATGACAATATAAAAAATGATTCACAATTTAAATCATTATCAAATCTTTGATGTTTTCTCATCGTGTACCAAAATTAGAGGATGAATGATCAGATCAGTATTATGTTACATTTGAGCCAAGAAAATATCACGAAACTACAAAGTTTTCACACTGTAACAACATTTATTAATTTCAAGTATACAATAATATAACAACAATATTATGTTTACATCTGGTAAATATACGTACAACAAAATAATGCAAAGTTTGTGTAAATCGTAACAGGGTAATGACATAAGAGCAACACATACATTGTAAACAAGCATAACGACAAAAGTATTACAGTGTGCAACAGATGTCTTGTAAGTAATCAACATCGTGAAATATACATTACCAAGAGAGTAAGAATACAAGGAATGTCCTATATGACTTTGAATAGTTTACTTACTGTAGAAATTGATCGTGTTAGGTCATCAATGACGAAGGCAACAGTGGTTTACCTGTTATATTAACGTAATACTACGGAAAGAGATTTCGATTTAGGTCTAGTTTTTTCCCCATCACGTTTGTCTTTATGATCTTGGAAACCTTCCATATATAACATGAAACATCTATGAAGGTCATTCTTCTTGCTTTTCTGGTGCTTTGTGTTGTTTGTCTGTAATAACAAAACAGTAAGATAACATGGATATCCTCCAGCCGACAAAGTTAACCACATGGAAACATTGTTAACACGCATTACAGGATAGCTGTTCACTTCTATAGAAGCTAAACACAGGTGGTCTGTATATATGTCAGGAATGCACGCGTTTTACAAAGTTAATACTCCCTTCAACCATTCTTTGTATGTACCTTTATCATTTTTGTATAGTATACCAAGTTCAAGGAAGAACAATATCATGAACAATTCTTGGTTGTTAGGGTTCTGCATTCAGTTACAATTCAGGTACCATCTTGTAACCTTTATGCAAATGCTAGACATTAAATACAGAAAAAAGGTTTGTTTGGGTGTGACAATATCATGAAGCAGTTTGTAATTCAGGGATATGATTTTAATACACATTGTTATCATCCCAAACTGCTGGTCGTTAGAGGCGACTAGTTATGCGGCCGACAAAATCAGGAGTATTCTTCTTTACCTTCTTTAAAGGAGACATTGAAGAGACCAAAACTGATTTGCTGTCCTCATTGTTCCTCCCCTACCTGTCTATTCTAGCTTTCTCTCCGAAGACATCCATCCATATATGATAATGCATGACAATGGCTGTTGCGAGGATGCAAGACCAAACAAACAAAAATGTCGTTTTTCTGCGACTTATGGTTTTCAAATGGTTGAAAAATCGTTATACATATGAATGAGTATGACAATATGAATACCTTTAAAAGGCGATTATCGGGATGCTAAGGTAGTATTATTGTAAAGGTCACTTTGACTATTTCTATAAACCAGGTGTCATTGCTGTAATGGTTTTCATTGATATAATAGAACTAGGATTTGATATCACTTAAAATAGGTCTCCGTTTCAATGTCCTGTGATTTAAGAACAATGTCTAAACCACCACGGCTCTATCATGTCTTAACTAATTGATAGTAAACAAAACAAATTTAAAAGGAATCGTCATGATTCTGTCAATTAAACCTCTTCAAAAACATAGATGTACCGATCTGACACATCATCATTAAGCTCGTCATCCAATCATTGATGATATTATAACTTGATCATTGCAAACCCATTACTAGTACAACCACAATGAAAAATATCTAACGATTAATAATGAATACTAACGTTATTGAAGGCCAATATCTAAACACCGATCATAGCAGTCACTGATGTGAAGCCTGTCCCGATGGATTTCGTGGTGCATATTTCATTATTCTGTCCAGCAATCGAATGGCATTTCCCACTTCGGTGTCAGTCTTTTTTGCTTTTCTTTTCATTTCAAGGTCGCGATTTAGCAACACGGATTAAGGATGAAAAAATATAATTGTCTGATATCTTTACTTTATGCACATTTTCAGGGCAAAAAAAAACTTATTGTTACTTTTAGCAAAACTATCCCTAGAGGTGGCAAAGGTAATAGTTATTTATCTGTTTCTGATCAGTCTGATGTTACATAAATGGTATGGTACCTGTAAAATTGGAAGACTGTAAACAAGGACACTGTAATCACTTACTTGCCAAATTTAGTCTGCGTTGTCGTATGATGTCTAACTCATGTTTCATCTTGAAAATAGTTCCGAGAACCTTTAGCTGCATCTGCAAGAATAAAGCAGTGTGCAGATACTAAAATCTGGTCAGCAGTTAATGATACCGGAGTGAACTCACCAAGGGATCATCACTTAAAGCTAAACCAGTGAAATATATTTATCATCAATTTAACATTCTGGCGAAATCTCATATCTTATACATGAACCTATCTCATATTTCTGATAAGACCGGTTATATTTGGATAAGCTCTAAATAATTAATTGGAGATTTCGAGTTTAGTTCGCCTAGAACAGGCTGTCTTGGTTTTTGTGCCGTCAAGAACAAAAGAAAATAAATCTAATGACGTGAGCTTAAAATGAAACCATGCACAATGCACAATTAATGAAGTGCATATTTTCATTGATAGAAGAACAACCCTTACTTTGACATTCAGAACCTCTCGGGATTCCACGTCCACCACGATAATGACATCTTCACGTAGCCCGTGATTAACTATTCGGTGATGACAAAGTCCATACACAAACCATTTTTATTCCCAATACTAGCAGACTACGCATTTTCAGTAGCAGAATCATTGATCAGCAATGAATATCCATCATGTTCAGTTCTTGTCAATAATAGCATTAAGAAACACTTCAAGTCCATTTTATTTAATATAACGATATCCATAATTATAATAATTAAAACAAACATGCTCATGACAATTATGTTCTGTTTTCTTCTTGATACTAAAGAGGTGTTTTGACTAATTAGTATGACTATCCTTCACATAAAATTCTGAGTTCCCTCTGTCGTCTCCTGGATTTAACAATACAGCAGCACTGCTCTGTGATGTCGTTAAATTAGTTATTCTGTTATACCCATGTTCGTGCTTTGTACAGTCTTGTACAGAGCAAAATAAAGCAACTTTGACAATATCATAATCCTGATTAAGCAAAAATGAGTGTCTTTAAGGACATCTGTGATAGAAGTATATTACAGGACAGGCAAACATGTAATTAAAATCTACATGTATTAATGTAAAGAGTTATCACGAAGTTTAAATTAAGTGACAATATTAGCACATCTCATAAAGAACTATATTGCATCTCCGCATCAATCAAAAATATTCAATCAGTAAGTTTTGGATGCTAGCATATATATGTTATACAAAGTGCTTGACTAGATTTATCCCCTCTGAAGCAAATTATCTTACGTCATTATTTACTGCAAGATGTTCTAAATCCTGTCAGAAAAATATTGCAAAAGGAAATATGATTTCCGCTATACAGAGAGATCGTGTTATCATAAAGTTTCCTGATTGTCTGTGTAAGTCTTGTTCATACTTTGCTCCCGTTTCATTGAGTTTGAATTAAGATTCTGTTGAACTGTCGGTATTTTGTTGTGTAAAATAAATCATCTACGATCGATACAGCCAGACTAATCGATGAACATCAAGTTAATTGCAACGTAATTCCGTAGCAACAAAATGAATTAAAAGGAATTATATAAATCACCCAAATCAGATCATTGGGATTGCTGAATCGACCAGTGCAATGCGATTTAAGGTAAGGAGGAGACCGTGTAGGAAAAATACAGTTACCTAATTAATTATACGGGACTAGCTTTAAAATTGTTACTTCGACCTGTTTATTCCACGGCAGAGTTTCAGTTTACATCATCGATGAAAATATGTTCAACGTATCTGAAGTAATTGCTAAACTTTACACTTTTCTTTGTTTTATTCTACGTAAACATCATTTTATTGTTGACTTGGGTAGTTGTAACTAAATATTTATCCCAGCTTCCACTAATAATGTCATAGATTTAGTATTATTAAATCATGGTTGCAGTTAACTTATACTTTAAGAACTGAATAAAAGAAGGAGAATTCCAAACAATTTTTAACGATTTTGATTATATACCCTCCTGAAAACTGTGCCTTCTAAAAAGCATTTTATTGTTCCCCACTGTAAACGACCGCTTTCATTTCCTTTTCATGGCAGCTTTCGTGTCAAAGGTTGTACAAAAGACACACAAGTGAATGACGAATGGTGGCACAATTGTATGGCTATTAACTATAACTGAGCTCTGGTTGGCGATACTTCCTTCATCAAATGTTGACTTAACCTTAAAACGTCCAGTAACCAGCTAACGTTAATGGTAACCTTCTTAACAAACCAGGATAGGTCCATATTGTTAATTATTAAGCAGAATGGAACTAGGGCGTTTTTATCATGGCCAAAATCGTCCATGAAGGGTTGTTTTCAATCAGGAAAAATAATGTTCATCATAAAGAAGGGATTTCGCCTATATAATTAAAACGTTGAAATTATTATATATATGTGTGTGTGTTTTCGTGACGAGTTTGACTTGTGTTGTTTCTGTTAAAATTTGAGATCCGATTTACCATACTTCGATATTCGTTATACCACTGTGTTGTTTCCATTTCTTACAGTTATTTTGCTACCTTTTCAGATCAGGATAAGAAGTGCTGAGTGAGGCGAGGTGTTTGTGTAAGGTATGCAATGCAATAATGCAAAATCATTACCAGTCCTCGACTGACATTGAAGTATGATGTCATAAAAACATATAAAATAATTATCGATTCATTATTGGTATTGTTTTATTTGATAATTCTATTGAGTGTTAAAATGGGTTTTTTCTGATTTAGAAAATCAGAAAATCAAGAGAATTTTGCTTGCTGTTGGCAGCAAAGATACTGTTGAATATTACATAAATATCGAAATTGCATTTTTTCAACCATTTGATAGAGGTCTTGTAACATCTATTAGCCGAAATAGCTCAGTTGGGAGAGCGTTAGACTGAAGATCTAAAGGTCCCTGGTTCGATCCCGGGTTTCGGCATTTGTATTTGCTTTTATTTCAAGTTAATTATTATGTACCACTTACATTCATTGGGCGTGAATACAAAGAAAAAATATAACATACTCCTTAAAGATTTTCTCCGCTATATTTGCACTGTTAAATGTCAAACAAAACGGAAAATTATACCATGAACTGGAGGACAATAAAAATAATCCACAAAATATAATACATAATTCCATTGCTTCGTAAACTGGACAGACCATGTGTTTTGGCAACATATCCTCTCTGACGCATAAACTGCGTTCATGTAACACTTTATCTCCTGGCATCAAAAACGGTCAATATCAAATTTAGCGAGAATTTCATCAAAGACTCTGAGAAAGCCCACACAGGGCTTCTTTTGAAAAATATTGACGATCTACCGACGACAAACTTCATTGTGTAAACATACTAATTACTTCAGACAGAAAAGAACAAAAGTCATATCAAAAGTCATCTTCGATTACACTGATGGGAAACGGCAAACAGATAATTAATAATGAAAATCGTATTGTGGGATTTTTTTCAAATAAACGATATTGTGTAACCAGTTACTAAAACTGTGACATTAACTGGTCGATGCTAAGTGACATTGCGACCTTGAATGACCATATGACGTTTGAATAAATAGTGTAACAATTCCATCTCATCAAAGCATACAGGTGGTTCACAAGAAACAAAAGATGACAATTCACACGTGTAAGGATATCATTACGACACTTAACTAACTTACCATTCTTTTGTCTTTTCTTACAGCCATCTTCTTTTTCGATGATTGCTGTATGGTTACAGAACTTACTTTCTGGTGAACAGCTATTCCCAATCCGTCTACAATCATTGCCGATGCCGATGTCGTCATTTTCCGTTTTTCGCATTCATTTTTTGTCCTTTTATCTTTTGTAGTTTTCATTTGCAATCGAGCGTGTTTGTTTTGTAGCGACGTTGAATCGACCTGTCTGTCAGTAATTGTAGTTACACCCAATGAATCGCACGTGTCAAGGAAATATCCCATGTCATTTTCCTGTGTCCGTGTTTGTTGACCTGGGTTTGACGTTATAGACGGATTTATCATGGACTGGCTGTATGGTGTAGAAAATGTGTACAGCTTCCTTACTTCTCTTTTACCCATGTTGACCATCATCTGTTTAGTCTTATTCAAATTCCCCTTGGTCGATGTGCTGAAAAAGAAGAGAGAAAAAGTAGAGTATTACTTGAAGATTCAAGTACTTCTGATAAATCTCTTTAGATTTGTTTTAGTTTCGCGAAGAATTAGGTCATCATTACAACCCTCGAAACAGTCCGTTTCTCGACACATATCACTAACATGCGATTAAAAAAAGGAGGACCATTAATATTCAAGTCTTAATGTTGATATCCAGAGCGAGATGAAAATAGTACAGCATGCCAATTGATTGTATATTTTTGTCAAAACATTGCACCTTAGAACTGACAATTTCTCGGCATGTAACTATTTGACGTCTTTAAAATCTTTGATTTTTTTTCTCTCTAATATTCGTGTAGATTCCGGGTGAATTTAAATATAAGCGTTAATCTCCAAAATGAGAAAAATCCGTTTAGCAATTGCCTGTTACGGTACCATCGTCTTCTAATGTTAATATTACAGTATTTAAATTCAAGTTAACCAATCAACATTTCCCCCTAATTCAGTCGTGGAAAAGGAAGTATTACGTTAGCTTTCGGGAATTATCAACAGATTAAGTATCATGTACATATATCTTAACATAATAGGTCAATATATCCCTGGTCACTAAGAGTGGTTGACAAATGTTTAATGTTTTATGTGAAATTTTCCATTACGTAAATTTCTAGATAACTGTAAATTTTAGCATAGTAATGATTTTAAAGGTGACGTCACTTTCCCTGAAATTTAATTCGCGCAAACCGGGTGTATGCGTGTTTCTTGATCTGCTGGACTATGAACTGATTTGAAGTATAGGACGTTTAACATGCATGTGTTAATATAAATGATTTTGTTATATTATGAGTGTGTTGACAGAATAGGCTAGTTTTTTTTCGTATACAACTCAATGTGTGGTTCCAGCGACTGTGTATGATAGCTTGATAAATATATCGTCAGTTTTATTCACAGGAAATGTTAAGAAACAAGTTGTGTTTATGAAACACTATTCCCTCGGTTGCAACCAAATTCTGAAGTGGGACATTAAAAATCGTACTGTGTTAAGCATGTGCTAATTGCTTGCACACCTTGTTAACTTTGTGTATTAAAGCCTACCTCTTGCATTGCAATAGTTAAGGTCAATGTTCAAGTTTTTCAAGTGTATGTCAAAGGCCACGGTCAAGATCACGTGGTCAAACATTCTAGTGCCACCAGAACGGACTTGTCACAAGGAATAAATATCCAAATATGAAAACCAAACCTCATATGATGCAATAGTTATAGCCAATGTTATTTTCTTTCAAATGTAGGTCAAAGGTCATCGTCAATGACACATGGTTAAACATTTTGGTACCACCGGCAAGGTCTTGTCACAAGGAACACACATGCCAAGTATGAAAGCACTATCTCTTACAGTACAATAGCTAAAATTGACAACAAACAAAACAGACAGACAAACAAACAGACAGCACAAAAACAATTTGACCCCGATCTTTCGATCTGGGAGCATAAAGAATAGTCAGTCACATAAATATCCAGTTGGCCTCTCACTGCATGTTTATGAAATTCGACATCATCTTCTGCATTGTTTATTTTGCGCATTACAAACTGTACATGGAAGACCTATCCGTTAAGTCTCCTTCTCAACGTTTTTAACATTCAAATTTGAACATATTACGACCAGATAGTTGTGCAATGCAATCTATTTGGCTGAAAATTCAGTTCTTTTGTCATAGTATATTCCCTTCTATTAGAGCATTTTCTTCGGGTTGTCAACAGAATAAAAGTTCTTATAATACAACAAGTAGAAGATTTGAGCGTACGAGATGATAAAGAATCGGCTCTATTATAATCCTATGTACACCATTTCCCGTTTATTTCCATACCTACCCTAATGATCCTGACGTTCTATCAATGTTGGCGAGAGAAGGCGATAGAACATAGAATAATTCGGACGAGTTGTCCATCGACAATAGACCGTTAAGTCTAGAACGTCCGACTAAACCGTTCCCTCGTAACACTTGTATTGATTTGTGCTGTTGAACATGTAGAAATTAGAAATTCGCGGACACCATCCCCTACTTCTTTGTTTCACCCCTCCTATGTCTTCATTGTTTCATCTCTCCCTTGCTTCACTGTTTCATACCCCAACCATTCCCCTCCATATTGTTTATTTTCAACCCTTCCCCGCCTAATTGCTTGAAAATATGTTGTCCCTTTCATTGTAAATTAGTATGGACAATATGAAAAATAAAACGGACATTTTCGAAATCCAAACAGTTTGGCCTATAATCTGTCCGAAAATATCGCTGGAGTCATTCAACTATAATGGTAAACATTTTATACACTCGTCTGAGTTACGGTAGAAAATAGATAATTTACGTACTGTTGTCAGTCTCAAAATGCATCGCTATTAACTTGTACTGTTGCAACTGTTATTTGCCTTCGTGTTACATTGTAACAACTTAAAACCACAATTGCCCTGGAGGGCATACAACAGGCCCCCTGTATGTTGTTCAGTGAAGTAACAACCAGCTGCTAAAAGGAGACTTCGCCTTGCAATGATCCTGGCAGATGACGGAGCAATAAACACAGAAAAGTATAACAACAAACTTGCAAGTAAGACTGAATTTGTGTCACCTGTTATCATAGTCATATCTTGGTAATTAAATGTTATCATTTATATCACTTCACAACAAAACTCGACTGTCTTTTTTTTATAAAGCTTTCAGACTAATTGAGTCCGTAATACATTCCTATGAATAAATGAATAAAAATAAAGAATGTGTCTCTCGGCAATAAATGCAAATCAAATGTAAATCAAAATAAAACAAAATGTAAAACAAATCTAAATAGAGTACGTAACCCGAACATACAGCTGTCACTATGACGTCAGCAACGGGATTACAATTCAAAGAACTACTAAAATGAATAATGAAGTGTGTTACGGTGATAACACTATACGTACATCCTAGTAGTCAGGCCACCTTAAAAATAAACTACAACGTGTTATAATCCACGTGATCATCACATATACAGGTCTTTAGATATCAGAGAAGAAATGCATGTAAATGCATCACAAGCCAGCGTAAAATGCAAGAAAAAATATCTAAATTTTCATATGCTCCCATCGTGATTTTAAGAATATGTCCTTGTCACAAATACACATGAATCATATAATCCATTCTTTATGTCATTATCGGGGATTTATCAATCAATCTCGTGTTGTAATTCTATGTGATGGGATCCGTAGAAAATACATAAAATTCGTGACAAAACATCAAAAGATATTCCATCATGTTATACTATGCATGTGCTGTTAAAACATGGCCACTTTTGCATGACCCTGCATAGTCCCGGGGGAGAAACATATGATTTTCGAACAAATCCTAGAATCATTTATACCAACATTATAGACATTCATAAACGTGTCTTTCTTTAAAGAATTTTACTTTTCCACCTTGTTCACCATATTTCACTGAAATGTGATATAAAACAATGCATCAAGTGTCACGATTGGTTTTAGACTTCTGTTGTGTTTACGTCCTATCAACAGAGTTCTCCCGATGTATGCAAGGTGTTCGGGAAGCTGTAATATTTTTGTGTGTAAGTCTCCATAGTGTTATCACACTGAAGTATACCAGAAAGTCGCTCAGCTTGACACTACACCTGGTCAGTGTACTGGTGACTGGCAAATCAGTCGTTACATCACTATATTCTGAGTGATATGCAGTGGGTACTAACTGGTTTAGAAAGAAGAGAGCACGTAAGGGAGACAACAGGTATATAATTATTATGCCCTACCTGCAGTTCCACGAATGCTACGTAAATGACCACTGTACATTTGCTAATGGAAAAAGCCGTACCTAGAAGTCCGATATCCTTTGAATTCCGCGTCTGCTTCGTCATCCTAGATCGTAACCATTAGCTACATTCTGAGCTTCAACTGAATGGTTGAATTCCAGGTCAAAAAATGTTTCGAGTTTGGTGGCAAGCTCCTCTAACGGATGACTGGTGTATAATTTTCTCCCGTCTATGTCTTTGTGGGATACATGTATTCCTTGCGGGATAATTCTATTCTGATATACCATCAGGTGGAAGAATTCATATCCCTTGTACCTACATAGAGTTGATATCTACCCTTGTTTTACCTGCTAAAATTGTTCTTCCTTCTTCCTTACTATGCTGATTCTATCGAACAGCTTGTCAACATATACCATTATCATTTCATTTTCCCTATTGTGTACATCTTGGTGTTATATTATGGACTTTACAAAGGCATTTGATAAGGTTCCTCGTTGTCATTTCATACACAAACTTCGCAAATTTGAAAACTTTTTTAAGCAATAGATACAAAAAAGTATTATAAATGGCTCATATAAAAAAATATCAGTGGCATTCCACAAGGAAGTGTGCTAGGGAAAATTATATTAGTCATTTATATTAACGATATGACAGGGAATAAAACATCGCCTTGTCCCCTGATGACATGGAATAAAACCGTTGAATCGGAAAGCATTATGACAAAGACATTTTGTAAATGGAATTTGGATCAACGGCGGAAACGGTTGAATATCTTATCAAAATTTCACCCCAATAAATGTATCGCACTTCATATAATGAAATTATGACAAAATGAAATAAAATACCAATTAAAAGGATATAGTGGTGAAACGAAATTTGTTAAAAAGTTTTAAAACTCAAAAAGGCCTGACCGTTGTTGATTAATGATAAATTTAACTTCCAAACTTATATTCATTTTTTTGGAATACGCAGTATGCACGTGAAACCTCTACAAATGTGCGGTTAAAAACAACCAAATTAATCCCAGGTTTTACTGAAATTTCATGTAATGAGCGACTACAACAAGTACAGTTAACTGTTTATAACAAGAAACAGTTCTCATTTCAGAACGTGACATTACTTACTTGGATTGACCAAGTAACATTGCGGGTGTCGTTGATGAAGTAGAAGACGCTTACTCTTCCGGAACAAATGGTCTTATTCTACTTGTGCTTTTTCAGGAGTCTCCCTGTAAATATTTCTTTTGTTCATGTTTTGTGGAATTTGAGTTTTAATTATGATTATGTTGCTATCTTGGTATTTTCTTAATGTTTTTTTTTTTAATGAAAGAGTCACCACGAATCTGCTTTTAGTAATGATTGTACAAAAGCAGTTGTAACACGTGCGAAACTCTTCGTTATATTTTACATTCATTTATGTATCTATGAAAAGAGTTGTTGATATAAGGGATAGTCTGACTGTTCAAGTCGTAAGTAATATGTCATCGTTCTATACTGTAGAGATAAGCGCTTACTTTTTTCATTTACATATATTCATCTTTCATCTTCATGACACATTTCAGTGTCATTTATTTTTTTCCTCGTGACTATTGCCTGTTTTTAGATTAATAGATAAATAGTCTTAAATATAGTTACAATACACTATACTGTACGAAGGATATTACTCAAGCAGACGACATAAGGTCTAGTACAAGTGTGTACAACTACGACATTACTGTGGACTTTTAAATACACATCTTCCTTAATCTCATACGGATATTGGTTGTATTTGAATATGTTAGATACCATCAAACTTTCGTTTGGTAAACATACTTATCCTTTCCATCGTGTCCCTCAATGCCTGTCATATTAGAAAATATGTAGCCTACGTCTCAATGTGAACTTTTACCTTTGACCTCATCTGGAGGCCACACCTTTTGACGTCATCAAAATATGTGCTGTGAAAACGCTCCAGTTGTGAAACAAACCTTGTCGCAGTCGATCTGGGAAGATGTTCATGAACCAGTGGAGTTATATCTCGAAATATTGTGGACTTGTATGTGAGGAGAGTAGGACTGTGTTTGACTGGTTTTTATAACACACAACTATATTATTTAATACCCGTCTATAGATATATTTCCATTCAACAACTGCTGACGTTCTTGGTCAGCTGGTCTGAAACTGTTGCATGAATATGGATGCGACTGTGCCGGAAAAAGAAACTACAAATGAAAAACGAAATTGTAAAGTATTAATTATAGGTGCCGGTATAGCAGGAATAGCTGCCGGGAACCATCTTATAGAGTCCGGGTTCAAAGACTTCAAAATAATTGAAGCCTCTGATCGAACTGGAGGGCGAATTTGGACCATAGACGTCGGTAAGTTTGATGACCTACTGAGCTTTCTATCAGCTGTCATGTTATCTCTGCGTGATTGGGCGCTTCAGATAGGTTTCAGATATATATAAAGCAGTTATAAAACTGAAAATGTTTATTAAAGTGTGTACGATAGCAGATTGTATTCATAATGTTGATCGTATGGCGTGTTTGCTTTGTGTGTGTTGTTCTTTGTCAGCGACTATGACGTTTAAATTTTGTGAATGACTGCCCCCGGTGTGAAGGTCACGCAAGGACGCAGACGTATACGTAGTACACTCTTACGTGACGAATAAGGGGCACCCAATGGCGGGTCAATATAATATACATTGAGAATCGTTTCTTTCCCTGATATAAATCTTCACGAAAAGCATTGTGTTTGTGACTAAACAAAGACATGTACTACTGCCCGTCATTGGTTATCATTTTGATGTCGTTTACTTATGATAACTCGACTTTGTGTTCATGTGCACGTGTGGCATGTTTGAAAATGAAAGTAGATAGTACAGCTTACAATTTGTATAATTCATGTCCTGGTACAGTCAGTTCGAGTTTTAACATTCAGTCCTAGGTCGCATGGTTTAAAAAGTTTGAAACTCTCAAATATGGAGAAAAAATATACAATTTATATTTTTTAACATATTGAGGATTTACAATTTGATATTCGAAACATTCCACTTGCCCCACATAAGTTGAAGAGATAGATTAAATGAACTGATCTCTGTCTGTCCTCAAGTTAGTTATTTAATCATACATTAAACAATTCCCGTATAATACATATTTATGGCCTGTCACAGGTTAAGGTAGAAAATATGGATGTACTTTGAATGTTATACCAAAACACATTTTTACTGGAGTAAACATGTGAAGAAAACCCTAAATCTACACTTTTTTGTACTTTTCCATGTTCTATTATTAGAAATCAGTTGAGCTTGCTTCATCCCAACAAACCCTCTGTTCATCAAATCTTCAGAAATATATGATTATCTGTTACATTTTCATAGTATTTTGATGCAATATGATAAATTTGTGAGAGTTTATTTATTGTATACCATGTGACAAATTGAAGTTTATGCTTTAACTGAGAAAATAACTTTTCTCCAAACTTTTGTTGATTATTCTCCAAATTTCATTTGATGCAAATTCTGATTAACAATATAGTTGAGAATTTATAGAGTCTGTATGCTTGGACTGTTTCTTCTATTCCAAGGTTAAGAGAGATGACTTGGACACTGCAACATATTGTGAGGGCTTAAAGCAGTTGCTAGAAAGAAGTAGACTGATTTTGGAAAAAAACATAAGATTTTTAACCACAAATTTCACGTTAGATCAGTGACTGGCCCAAAGCTCATGGCTGTGTATTGTATATGTATACACAAAGTAATGTTTACCTACAAGTTGGTAATACAGTATTGGAAGAAGAACTAATGTTGTCACTTTGGTGTAGGTGTTGTGTTTTTATTAAGATTTTCGTGCAAGTAATGGAAGACATCAGAACTTATCACTTTATAATTATAGCAGGATATATGTACTGATGTTTCAAGTCATGGTTCCTGTGGTATTCACTGTATGTAGTTAAACCAGACGTGGACTAAAAGAATTTGGGGAGAAACCCAGCTTTTTAACATGTTTTGAATTAAAATTTTGTTGAATAAAATGTTTATAGTTTGCTGCAAGTGTTGAAAGACATTAGTATATCACTTTGATACTGATATTTGGAATCAGGGCTTCTGTCAAATTCAACTTTCACTTCGCCAAGTCTGACCAAAGAAATTTAAAAGGAAAACTCTGAACTTTGTGGCAAAAAAGAAAGTTAAGATTTTGATTTTGATTAAGATTTTGATGCAAGTAGTGAAAGACCAGGTGCATCAGAATTGTTTATATCAAAGCAAGAGCAGCTGCAGAATAGAATAGCTGAACTCAAAAGTGTTTGTCAATAACATTTGCTTATTATCTATTTAAATCCCTACCAATAGATATATACGTACTATGGAACTGTAGTACATACAAACATCATTTGCAATCTATTACAGTTCCATTGTATGTATATATCTATAGGAGGGAATTAAGTAGATAATAAGCAAATGTTGTTGTCAAATATTTTGTGAGGTGAGCTATGCTGTTCCTAAGCTGCTTTTATTTTGATATAAAAAATCTGATGTGGCTCATACATGTATTTGAACAAAACAGTGATATACTGCAAGTTTAGATCTTTTTAGCACAATTACTAATTTCAAAGCTATGTGGCATAGTCATTGCCATGAGAACATCTAATTAATTGTTGAAGAAATCTTGAGATACAAATCAATACTACTGAACTGAGCTACAAGTTTCAGACACAGCTATACATGTTGCCCGAGTTGGTCATGCACAGGTAACTTGATTGGCCCGAATCGATAAAGTGAACCAAAGTCATAAGATTCTGGATAGGTATGAGACTCAATTTCAATTTTGGTGTATTTTGTCTTTTTAACATTGGAAAATAGTATGTTTAAGTGAAACTGTGTCGCATATGCCATCATCAATTAAGTTGGAAGCCACGATTACTTAACAGTATGCTTACAATCTTGAATGGGCCCAACATTAGCAATGAAAATAAACTAAATTACAAACACTGAAATACATACACATAGACATACATTTGTGTTTGAAGTTCAGATGTTATAATCCAGTGTTTTGGTTGTGCTTTGACAGGCACTAGTCGATGTGTATTCTACCTGTAGATGTAGAGATTTGGTCACAGACTAAGGATACGTTCATTAGGCTTGTTAGCCAAGGTTCTCTCTCACCCATCAACTGTTGATCAGCATTCCACATACATAACAAGTCTTTTCCCCATCTCTTACCAAATATTTTGGTTAGTCATAACATCTACAGAGCAAACCAAAGGTAATTGATATGTTTAAATATAAAAAAAATTCAGTAAACATAAACTGAAGCCATACAAATATAAGGGTAGCAGAAAGCATGTTCAGGGTACCCGGAAGCACCTTCATTGTGAGTTTTTAATACATCTACAAGATGTATACATGTTCTGATGTGCAGAAAGTGGTTTTGTTAAGCGTTGCCACTTTCAGGATCCCTTTGAGATGTCATTTTTGATTCCACACCAGCTATCATTAGCTTGTTATATCATTACAACTGCAATGATACACCTAAGCTGTAATACAATACATATCATAGTATGATGTGTACAATTCAATACACATGATACAAGCATGTGAGTAAATGTTCAACTTTATAATGCTTGAGTGCATAGTGTCATTTAGTAAAGTTATATACTTCAATAGTAAACTATACTCATAATATCTTTTTGTATAATTTCTGATACTTTCTGGGTATACTTGGGCAGTTGACCTTATCTTTGCTGAAGGATTGAAAATATTGCCCCAGTTATTTTTAAAGTTTGATAAAAATTAACTGAATAAAGAACTTGTAGAATATTGCAATACAGGTAAACAAAACGCATTGATTTGATATACAAGAAAGTATCATGATAGGATACAACACAGTATATCATTTCAGCCCTAGAAATCATGGTAGTAAAGGTCAATGATTGAGTGCACATTTGTTAGATGAAGAGATCTGAAGTGTGGACAAGATTCATCCACATGGGCTGAGTGTTCCATACATATGGAACAAACAGTATACATGTGTCTTACCTGAACTAGGACAAATGGTTCTTACTTGTATATACAGAGATTGGAGAATTAATGTTACTAGTGGTGGGAAAGTGAGTTAACTATCACAATTAATAATTAATGATGATGGCAATAAATTCATATTTCTCTGGGAAGCTATATAATAATTGATTACAATTTAACATTGACAAAGCTGTTGTGGTGCCACAGTGGTTTTTTTTTTCTATATACTGGCTTCCCATCATCTGAAATAATAGCAAATTCAGGTTTTTGTACACTGAAGTGGTGTACTGAATTATCTTCTTTGTGCTCCCACAATAAAATGGATGGTTAGGGAATGGAAGGCAGGGCACATAGTGTCCCATGTGTGTCCTGTCCCATCCCAATTCAGTGTTATAAGCACTTAGTAACTTCATTCTTTGACCGATTTTGGTCAAAATTTGTACATTTGAGATGGATTATGAGTATACTTTCGACATTGCTGTGTTTCAAGGTCCAAAGGTCAAGGCGAAGGTCAGCTTTGCTATGTATAGACCTTGTATTAGTGCATGTTTCATCGCATCAAGATCAAAGTGGTTGTATAATTATATAGAACACTGAGACTAATTTTTGCTTAGTGACGGGAGCATTTATGTCTTGCAGATATTTACTAGTATTTTATGACAGTTGATTCTTTTTTGCTTTCAATCAACTGATCAATCATGAATCAGGGACTGGCAAAAACTTTCAAAACCACTTGTCAGTCAGACTGTTGACCTGGTCAAAAATAGTCTTCCAAACAATGAATTCGCTAGTCTAGAAAATTTACGTCAGAAAGTTTCAAAACTGTGTGTAAAGCGTTCACACATTGTGTATTAGGTAAGAGTTCCTTTTGAACCCCCCAACCAAACTGGCTACCAATGGGTTATTATACCTGGTAAATATAATACAAGTGTCTGAAAGGGTTAATTTTAAGACCAAGCCCCAAGTTTTCTTGGTACCCCTTAAAATAAACCCTTTTAGATACTTATTATAGCCTACTAGTAGTCATTTTGGGTGGGGGGTTCAAAAGGAACTCTTTACGTGTATCATGCTTTAATTCAGTCAAGATCATATGTTGGGCAATTGTTGAATGTTTTGCTAAACGTTTTACCAACAGTAAGTACTCAACTAGACATAATTCAAATCTTGTGCAATGATCAGGCTAGTGTAAACTTGGCTGACTAGGCAATATTTCATGGCTAATCTAATTAATGGTTAATTCTAAGAACTTGCATATAGAAAAAATTGTAAGTCTGAAGGTTAATGTCTTTGTTATTTCTTTGGTTGATCAATGGTAATTTGATGAGTTTTGAAGGAACAATAACAGATGTACAGCAACACTATTTTTACAGTCCAATATAAAATTTATTTTCAATATATGTTGTGTTTTGCTTTTAAGTATGACAACTGGTGTGTTGTAGATGACGACCATAACAAAGTGGAGTTAGGTGCCAACTGGATCCATGGCATCGAGAGAAATCCCATATTTAAGATAGCTTATGACAACAATCTGTTGGAACTGCGGCATGGTGACAAAGGTCTACGTCACAAGAACATGTTTCTTACTGAGGATGGGGAGGAAATCAATGAGCGGACTGTGAACCAAATCAACCTCATGTATGGGCAACTTATTATCCAGGCCGAGGATTATTATCAGAGCAACATTCCCACTCCAGAGGAAAATGACAGTGTTGGTGCATTCTTAGAACGGGAATTTTCAGCAATGATTGAAAGGTATTCCAATGGAGACCGTCATATACGGGAAATTTTATTTGACCAAAGGAAACTGCTGGAGTGCTGTATATCTGGTTGTGACACGCTACACGAGGTGTCACTGAGTGAGTTTGGGGGTTACCAAGAACTGCCAGGAGTTCACTACTCCATTCCCAATGGCTTCAGATCAGTGTTAAACATTCTCAAGAAAAACATCCCCACAGAAAACATACTGCTCAACACCCCAGTCAAATGTGTGCACTGGAATCGCAAGCATTCCGATGACAACCAGTATGAGGTCAAAGTTGAATGCGAGAATGGAGAGGTGTTCTATGCAAATCATGTGATAGTGACTGTCTCACTGGGTGTTTTGAAAGCAGCCTGTGATCGCATGTTTGACCCACCGCTGCCACCAGACAAGCTGCAGTCCATTGACCGTGTGGGATTTGGCATTGTGGACAAGGTGATAGTTCAGTTTGATGAGCCAGTCACACCTCCAGAATTATTTCATGTTGAAATGTTATGGGATAAGACTAAAGTTGAAATTCCAGATCTCAGGCATACCTGGTATCGCAAAATTTACTCCTTAGAGGTTACTGCAGGCAATATTCTTGTTGGTAAGTATAAGTAGCACATTAATACATATGTTGTGTGAATGAACTAAAATGGAATTCTTGTCAGACTGTGTGACATTAGACTGTTACTAAGTTTGTGGTAAGTTTGGTAACGTAACTTATACGAAAGTTGCAAGATGACATTATTTAACTGGAAATTGACTAATTTTAAAAATATTTTTATTTCCTTTTTCTCTATTGAAGTAAGAAGAATTCTTCCGATGGCTTAATAGGTTTGCTGAAGAAGGATTACCGAATGAAGTGTACTGACACAAACCATATTCACCATTAAAATTATATGATGAGAAAATTGATTGAATGATAAAATTCTAACTTGAGTTTCAAGAACACATGTACCTTCATTTCCTACCGTTTGTTTGTCTGCCAAAGCTGCCATTATGGCCACCATACACCAACATTGCAACACTTACCAGAGATGTTTCAGGAAATGGATGATTACCAAATCCGTAGAAGCCAGCTAAAATCTAAATAAGTAATAATTGATTCTGTGTACCTTGGCCTACATGCTGCCATGCATCATCTCGAGCTCGAGATTTTATGCACATGCTGCTTTATCAAATACGTTAATCAGGACATTAAAAAGTCAAATCCAAAAATAACGACTTTACTGCTTCCAGGTGCTTCATGGTAGCAACTACCACTTGCATCTTAGAGCTAATCTGTACACAATATTCCTTGCAATTCTACCACCCACATGATTGAGACATATACAAGTAGCTACCAAAATTGCCTCACATGCACATTTGATCTTTTCAAATTCAATCAGGTCAGTTCCTTAGATACATCCAGGTGGAGGTTGTACATTTGGGACACCTGCAGATGGCCCTTATAAGTGATACACAGAAATCAGGCCAAGAAACTGGGTTGTGTCAGGCACCTTCATCATCATGGCTGCATGTTCTTCATCTGTAGCTACGACTGCTATGACTGTTATTAAACTATTGAAAAGGATGCATGACTTAATTCAATTTTATAGGTGCAAAGCTATACAATAATGCACACAAGGTAACTTTATATATGCCAGAAATGTAACCTGCATCTATATAGCATGTCATAAAGACAGCAGAAAACCTTAATATATTCAAGGAAATGAATATTGTTTTTCAGTCCTGATATGCGAGCCTCCTGTATCGGTCACAAGGATGTGCATGTGGCACAGATTGCCAACTCCCATGATCTGTACAATCATTTATATATATCAACCTGTTTCAAGGACAAAAGTCTCACAAGTCAGACAATCTGAACAAATGTGTACTTCAATTATTATATTTTTAACTTATAGGTAGTTAATCTCAATAAATTATACATTAATGTAAAAGAGGTCTGCAGAGTGTAGGGGTTGGTGATCACAGCAGAGTACATCATTGTGTACATTATTTTATGTCATCTTATATTCTATATATACCTTGCTTGAAACTTATTGACATCTACCAAATTTTCCAGGTTTTAAGCCACACAAGTATAGCTACAGGGCAGTTGTTAGCGATTTTTTTATTTGATCCAATCTTATTATGATGTGGTGACCACTATTGTTGATGTTTGATATACCGGTAACAGATAACAGAAGGCAGTTCATTGAGATCATGAGCTTAACATTTAATCAAGTTTACTGATGAATTTCTGCCTAAATAATCCTTTATTTTATGGATTTATTTTCAAATCATGCTCGTCATAAACTCTTTAAGATATTGAACTTGCTTTGGGCTTTCAATGATTGCAAATGCACAGGTATGGCCTGACATTACATACAGTATTACAATCTCTTCACCAGTAACTGTATTAATGAAGGATATTGCATGTTGATAAAGATCCTATAATCCCATAATATTTTTTTATTAAGCTGCATCAAAGCCAGCGACATCGTAAACATGGCTGCTGTTCTAGAATTTAACCTCTGCACTCCATGACCTAGCGATGACTTGTTATATAGTGTGGAGACATATGTTTAGAAACATGTCCTTTTCTCTCATGCCCATATATATGCACATGTGCTACCAAAAAGTTTCAGTAATATACACACATGATTTTTTGTTTTGTTTTGTTTTGTTTTTTGTCACCCCTATTGGGGCTCTCAACCTATCGATCCCAGGGTGCAATAGTCTGCTCTACACATCCACTTCGCTTTCTTGCATATATTGCTGTAAAGAAGCCATGAAAGTCAAGAATATGTCATTGCAATTTATATTAACTGGTATGATTAATTTAATCCTTGGGAATGTTATTCGATTACAATCTTCAAATATAATTTAGTATACAATTGCAATTGATTTTATGCGATTTGTTTCAGTCACAAACATCTGGTACTTGTAAAAGTTTATGATGACATGTATTGGTATGTTAGGCCTACTTTTTTTTCCCCCATTCTGCTGATTTTCTTTTTTTTTTTCATCCACATATAAGCAGCACTGTTATATAAGCTCCATGTCAGACAACCAAGGAAAAAACCTGCAGCTTATAATCTGGAAAATATCGTACATGAAAGTATAGGATCCATGTATTTATGGGGAAAATGAGTATGATATAGGCTATTTTGACATGCTAACCTAATTTCAGATCTATTATTTATTCTATAATGTACTCAACATAATCATTTATACACATATAGTTCTATTTAGTATAAGTTATGAAAGCTTACACTGATTGTCTAAGTTAATATTAGATTGTGAGGTATTGGTCAGGCATTGTCATTCCCGAGATCTGATTAGTAATATAATCCCTTCATGAGTGTACATATTCATATACATACACATGCCAGGACATAGAACAGGTATTATCTAACATTTTAGCTGTTCACGATGATGCTAACTTCTGTAGTTATAGAAATACTTTCCAGGTTTAGCTAACTATCATTTTCAGTTCTTTCTTGTACCTGTATATTTGACCACATTTGTATGTGTTGAGGGAATAAGAGTTTTATAATTTATGTCCACTTCACCTATATTTTGACATTCCTGACTTACTAGGGCAGCGTTGATTGATAATTTCCTTGATGAGAGAGGGATTTTTTTGTCTCGACAAAGGTTAAAAACACAGGAGCTAGTTGGACATTTTTCAATTACAACTGTCTTTTTGTGTGGTTGCAAGAGCAAGTGATGAACTGTTGTGGAGCAATTTAAAATGGTATAACAGTCAAAACATACGCTTAGAATATGGTGTACATATTAATGTTTTTTCATGTTTTTTTTTACACCTGTAAGGTGTAGCTATTCACTATACTGATTATGTTGTGATAGTTAAAGTTATTGTGATGGTTTTATGTCATTTTAATGTTGACATTATGTTTAAAAAAAAGTACTTTTAGGCCATTTGAAAACAAAAGTAAAAAGTCATTGGAAAATGCAATAAAACACTTCTGGTTTATGGGCCAAAAATGCTAGCTCAAGATACCTAGTTGTTTGTTGATTTCTGGTGTCTGACTTGACTTCAGGTTGTAATACGTTTTAATAGTACCTTTATTATTTGTTGGTATTTTTGTAACTGGAGTGTGAAATCAACATGGAAATAAAGTCTTCTGCTCCAAAATGTTCTGACTATCCACTTTGACCTGCTGATCATGACTTATTGCCTCAACATCACACAGATAGTATTGAATGTGGTGGTTCTGCCATACTGGGCTTCTCTGTTTCATTGCCTATGAAATAAAATACATATATAGCTAGTTTTGACTCTAGCTGTAGCTTTGTTGTCTGTCTTTCTAAATTAAAAGTGTTGATGCTACATTGTTCTATGTGATGGTATGTTTAGGAACCTAATTAGTTTTCTGTACAGAACTTCAGTGACAACTTGAGGCTGCAGAAGTATGACTGTGATAAGGAGTACAGTCCTAATTAATCAGTAGCTATTGGACAGGTATGATGAATGAGGAATCGGGTTCTGGCATGTTTTTCACAAATAAGAAATAAAGTCTATAGTATTAAACATAAAGTAATTTGTGTGGGAAGATTTCTCTTCACAGACCAATGCAAAAGTTTTAAACCAAATATATCAAGGGAGTCAATACAACTAAATTAAGTAAAGGTGACACCCATTTCTATTAAAGTTTATATCATGTTCAGGTCTTAAATACATAGATATGACTAAACACCATGAGGTGGTAACACTCGTACAAATAAACAAGGTCATGCTTGGGTATTTCTCAATAGAAATATAGGTTATTGAATGTTGATGATTAACTCTGAAAATATAGGTTATGTTTGTATTGGTTCAGTAAGAATTTGTAAGATTATCTGTTGTTGACGCAAGTGACCTCAATATTCTAGGCGTAATTTAGCATTTTATACACCCACCATGGCTTTTCTGTACAAACACTCAGTACACAGGAGTGTGTATAATATGTAAACATGTCAAGAATTTTTGTCATGATTGCTTCCTATTATTTGAAAACTCATGATTTTGGTATATTAGAATTTATGTTATCTCCAATATTTCTGAAATATCATTCTATTTGTATATGGCATAAATAACATTGGTACAGAATATTTACTGCTGTCACAAAATGAAGCAAGTTCTTGACCTCTTTAGCTTTGAAAGTAGGTTAGTAAGCTAAAGTCAATAACCCAGAAATTGCAGCAGTGCTAGTCATGTAAATTCTTTATAGCAAAAACAGTATTGGTTTCAAGATAGTGAAGTAAACATACTTGTGTAGTTTTTTACAATGTTCTAATGTTAGAACACACACGTGCTAGCAGTTATCTCCTACTGATGTAGGAGTAATCTTATAACTTACATATCACAACTACTAAGACTTAACATCTCCAAGTCATTTAATTACTTTTCGTTGCTGTAGTATGCCTAGGAGTTGTTGGAAAATCAGAGAGCCTTTCCACTTGTAATCAGAGTAAGGTTTTGTGTTAGTTTTATGAGATATGCCAGACTTATTGCATTTTAACGGCTGCATTCTTAAGATTCCATAAACTTTATACTGATGCTTTTATTTGCAGAGATTGTGATGTAAATTGGAGAGGGGGAGATTATTTGTTTTATCTATATTCCATCACTTAGAGATAATCTCTATGATAAAGTTAAGTCCATGTATCGTGCTGCAGAGATCAACTCTGTTACTGGAAATAATCTGCAGGTGAACTGTTTTGAATCTCTCAATGAGACACCAAGGGAATTCTGGATTCTGTTTGATTCAGACAGATTTACCAAATTCTGATAATACATGTACATTGTATATTGCTGATCTAAATTCTTTTTATATAAATGTTTTTCTATTTTTGTGTGAAAATGTCCTGCATGTCATTGTATATATGTCCATGTGTATGTTTATGTGTATGTCTAGTGTCTTGTCAACACTACAGCTGAATAGCTTCAAAAGCAAATGACTCAATTAATATTAACCAATGGAGCAAGCCTAAATTTCCTTATTTTATAATTTACTAATTTATAAGATGTTATCTGAAGCTTGCTCTTATTCCTGACATAAACATTTGAACTAATATTATCGTACTTTGATAGTCGAGTCATTTATACACTGCTACCAGATTCAATGACCAGGATTGACTCACAGGTAACCTTGTAGCTATTCACTTAAATTTATGGTCAGTTTGATTAACCCAGCCACATTTTACATTATCTGGTACACAAGTTCATAATCTCCGACCTTGGTCGACCTTAAGCCAGCAGGCATACACCTCGGTTTAAACTTCTCATACAATGTCTCAAATTTAAAAGTTTGAAATAAATGAAGTTAGAAATAGTAACAGAGATTAAACTTAACAGCAGGTCTGAGATCCCAAGCTTTGGTGTAAGAACATTCAATTTAGTTTTGTTTTTATTTTCTGATCAGATAATTGCAAAGAGATTCTGTGGTTATGTATGTTCAGAAATATTCTCTCATCATGTGACTTGCTGTAGAACCTTCTTTTATACTGGAAACAAGACTCTCAAAACTGTAAATGAAAAATACAGTACATAAGGCATTTTAATTCTTGTTTTTGAATTTTTGGATGATGAAAGCATGTCTGATGTAGCAAAAAAAGGATTGTGTAATTTAAGGGTTTATGTCCAAAATAGAATAAGTACCAGTTGTTTGCAGAAATTTGAAAATGTGGATTGTTTGACTTTCTTTCATAAGCTGTTCAGAAGACGAGTACTGGTGACAGACTGTCATTGCTAAGACAAAGACATCATCTCCATACTGTGGCCTAGGGCATTAGCTATATAATAGACTATGACCTCCACTTTAATACACACTATGCTGACCTGGAAACAGGTCTGTCCTGTTTGATGGATCAGGTGATGGAACTTTTTTGGTCATAAATATGTATTTAATCCTTAGTGCAGGCACAGACATCCCTTATGTATGACATCACGAAGAATTTGGAAAACCTTTTGGCTTGATGTTTCTTATAATTAATAGTGAGAATTCTTTTTTTTTTTTTTAGGTTGGCTTAGCGGAAAAGAAGCCCTATACATGGAATCTTTGACAGAAGAACAAGTGGGACAAGACATTGTTTCATTCTTAAAGAAATTCCTCAAGAAAAAAGACATTCCTCAACCCAAGAAAGTCATCAGGTAACAGCCTCAGGCCTTGGCTTTAGATAAATGCTGCACACACACACACACACACACACACACTGCCCATGTAGGTCTAAAAATAAAGGTACAAAAAATTTTAATGTGTTCCATGCAATGAGAAACATCAACAAATTCTGAGAAGAAAATAGACTATTTGCTGCTAAAAAAAGTATTCTATGCTGTCCAGGGATGGTAGTATTGACCCTTTCCCAAATAGCTGCAGTATTGAATAACTTTTATTACTCAAAGTAGTACCATATAATAGGAGAAATTCAAGAACTATTCAGAGAAACATTCAAATATGAAGACTTTTGTTATCAAATTTACATTATTGTGTTGTAAAATAAACTGTCACACTTGCATAGTGTGACAACTGATTATGACTAGCTAGAATGATATTGTCACATACATAATTTTTTTTATCATGGTGTGACTATACCAGCTTACAGCAAACTTTTTTTTGAAACTCATTAATAGGAAATTAATTTTTGAAATTTGTATGCCTTTGACCTCAAAGTAAACATTCAATCCTAAGTACTGACAGGTGTTATTCATTCACTCATCTACATGCCTGGATTTCAGAGACATGTTTCAGATTTTTGGTTGATTTAAGCAATACTTTAGGGTTTCAGTCAATGAAAATGTTTTATAAGAACTACGTCACAAATGAATTTATGTATCATTGGAAGAAAATATATCTTTTTCTCAGAAATGTTTGAATTACTTTAATTTGTTGTTCTGTTATCATAATCAGGTTTTAAGATTTCTGTATCATCATATTTCACTACAGTATTTTTATAATCAAGCAATATGAAACATGTGAAGCTGACCCCAGTGTTTGACCTAGAACAGATTAGTGTTGATATCTTGAACTCAGATCTATGATATGTTATAAGGGGGATTGATATATAATGCTGAATGATTAGAGAAGACCCTTACTAGAGGCCTCAAAGTTCAAGTAGGACATTCCTATGAGCTGGCCCTGTATTTACTCATACTGCATCAAGCTATGAAAAGTTGAAAGAGTAGTTTGGGTTGGATTTTCCCAACTATCTAACTGGCACAGTTACACAGGATAATGGTGAATAATAAAGTGATTCAAACCACTAGCTTCCTGTGTCTGGCCACATTTACAGGAAGAAAGGGTAGGTATAGCATTAGGGTTCATGCCCACACATGGTTTTCAATAGAACTGTAATACAGATTATGAGTGAGGGGAGGGAGTAAGACCCAGGTGTCTGGTAACAATTTACACTCAGCGTGGTCCTTCTACAGAATTGTCCTTATAGGCTTGTCTTTAATGGGTTTATATAAAGGAAAAACACTGTGAAAAACATCAAAACAGTTTACAGTAATGGTTATTTTTTTAAAGAGCTTAGAAATAAAGGTAATTTTTTATCTAGGCTTTGAAACATTTGAAAGGGGATGACCTTATCTATGGTCTGAACATGACGGTGACCTGTTATTAAGGAGTGAGTATGACAATCCAGTGAAACGCCACTCCTTTTATAGGTACAGGTGGGTGGTAGATGGTATCCAGGTTATCGATAGAGAAATGTTTACCCTGGCTTTAGGTCATTTTGATCAGACTTAAGTGTGACTTTAACATTGTGTAAATACCAACAAACATTGAACCAATAAAGGATTCTTGGTTCATGTACGTATAGCAAGAAATAGTTTGCTTTTACATCTTGATTTAGATAACTGATGTTGATTAATGTTTAAAGTAAATGTTATATTGATAACTTATAATAGCAGTTGTAATTCTTAAGGTGAAGATTAACAGAAAAAAATTTTCGTAACAGATCTTAAGGCCACCAAACTTGTCAGTTAGGATACAATTTACTTGTCAAACTAGAGGTCATCCAGTGAATTCTCTGTCTTAATGTAAGATGTCTGATACTTGCGAAGGTAACTGTTTTATATACGTCATATATAAGTATTACGTGCTGGGGATTAGTGTAGGCGTGGAAACTTTCACAACAGCAGGCGGACAATTGTCATACTGTATTAGATATTTATGTCTAACTTTGTTCAATAATTAGAATTTTTGAACGGGTCATCATTTTGTTGGGCTCATGTTTGCAGTTCCCTTTTACAGTCACCACAAAACCATCTAGACAGGGAGCATAATACTATTTTAGAGTGTTTCAGTCACTGAAAATGAAAGCAACAATATAGTGTTCTCCAGTGGGATGGCAGTACCACAATCAGGAAGTAGGAAACACTACATACTCTCAAAGGACTGTAATCACAGTTTTTATACACCAGACAAGACAGTCTGCTAATGTACTTTATTCTAGGGAGGGGGAGAAAAAGGGAAGTTTGACATTTTATAAGGATGGGAGAAACCTGAAGTGTTGAACAACAGTAACACATATGTTTTTCTGCAACCATTCACCTACTAAACCACATGGTGTTTACAGTTTTAATTTCCACTGGGGTCAACCAAGTGTGGACTGTTTCCTAGCTGTGTCACTTAATTTATCAATGAAAGCTGAAACGTTGTTATCATTGTACATGGAGTGTCAGAGGTGTTTACTGTTATTCTCACACTGCTAAGTCACATCTTCAGGTTTTCAAAATATTGGGATCCCTCACCCTCACCACTGATAGGCCTTTGTTATAAGTGTCGAGTACTGGTGAAACATCTACCTGGTATTTCAGAATGTTCAGTGAGGCATGAAAGGGTCAATATGAGATACATATATAATTGTGTAGTTATAAGAGCATAGAATATTTTCAAGTATCCCAATCAGATCATGGCAAGATGACGCAGGTTGTGCAACTTTGTATCACCACATGGATTGTTTACGTCAATAGATAAATCCGCTAAAAAAATATGATTTTGTTTACTATACTGTCACTAACAACAATATCCAAGTATGGGAGAGAGACTGTACCACAACACAGTATGTATACCTGGATATACACACAACACAACTGTGCATGTAGGCAATGCTGCCAGTCACCACAACATATATAGAGACTGCATGGCTGGCTGGCAGGCGGCTGAAGACCTAAATACATTATAATGATGTATTCAGCTCCCAGGCCTAGAGTATCTGAAAAGGAGAAATGTGTGCCACTCAGTCTAGCTTTTGGTAATGTCTGCAGTCAACAGCCTGGGTCACTTTTGAAAAATTTGAATCTCTCCCAGCCTGTTTGAATATTATGGTAGCCATGCTGGCCATGTCCTGTCACCTGTGGGTCAGTGGTCAAGTGTGTGTATCTATAAATAGCTTCAGAATCCTAGTTTCTGACTGAGTTTGGGTTGTTGACTAGGAAAGTGTAATGCATGTTGTGTTATTGATTGGGTGGCCTAGATGAGACCTATAAACAAATAAACACTAAGTAAGTCACTAGGTACAGGTATGGGACAATGAGTGGGAGACTTAGTCATAATGAATTACCCAATGATATATTTCACTAACCTCACCATTCTATGATGTTGGGTTATTGGGTACAGGAGTCATCTCCAGCATTTTTTATAATCGTATGTACTCTGCCAAGGCTTGAAAATCTGTGGATAGACCCTTTTTAATTTAGTAGATAGAAATGAGAGTGTAATATAGAGGTGATGAGTCCTGTCCCAGCTGTACTGTTTCTGGGATGATGGGTTAACTTGATAGGAAAGTTCTAACATTCCTGTATCATAAGGGTAAAGTTAAAAATAGCTGCTCTCCAGGCCATAAGTAAATACAGACTGATGTTCAGTGCTACTGTAAGCATATTTTACTTGAAAACAAGTTTCCTATTGTCTTGCCTTGGTCCCTGTAAAGTGTGTTGTCCAAGACCTCCCACCACTTGTTGTCAGTAGTGTAAAAGGTTCATGCAGGTTAAGTGGTTTACTTTCCTTGTCAAATCCATCATCTCAAAAAATGACTTACTAGCACTCTCATAGCTATCAGATCTTGATGTTTTCCCAGGCCTTTTTTCTGGTCAGAGATTACAGGTACATGTACTATCAAATGTTATGAAACAAAAAACTGCATGTGAAATGTTAGCATGTTTGCAGTGATAGTCACTTGATGAGAAAACTCCAGAACACCTTAGACAGCTGCTCCACCTGTTTACACACTAACAGTTGTATCATACAGATATATGTCTGTGTATATCATATGTAGCTTCTGTTAAAGACACTTTCAGTGAGACATTCCACAGACATAATATAAGAAGTTTGATACTTGTATTATGGGATGGAAGCCACAATGTGATATTGGGTTCAATATCAAAGGCCATACCTCCTTTGTGTAGACATTTATTATTCATTGAGCACTTACTGTTCTATAATAGGGCAAGAGTTGAGCCTGTACAGCAGAGTGGATACACTGGAAAGGAGGAGAGTTGAACTTGTATTTTGAAATGTTTAGCATGTATGGTGACTATCGGTTTGTGATAGGGTGACGACAGTTGAACTATCTGTGCCTGTTACACCTGGAGGGCATTTTCCTCCTAGACAGTAGAACGAAACATTTCGTGTAAAGTGATCATGTATTTAGATAAAGATAATATTACAGTAAATAAAATTGGTACATTTATAGCTGTAGGCTCTCACTGTACATTTGGTGTTTAGTGGTACAAAGCTGTAGGCTCTCACTGTACATTTGGTGTTTAGTGGTACAAAGCTGTAGACTCTCACTGTACATTTGGTGTTTAGTGGTACAAAGCTGTAGACTCTCACTGTACATTTGGTGTTTAGTGGTACAAAGCTGTAGACTCTCACTGTACATTGGATGATTAGTGGTACAAAGCTGTAGACTCTCACTGTACATTTGGTGTTTAGTGGTACAAAGCTGTAGACTCTCACTGTACATTGGATGATTAGTGGTACAAAGCTGTAGACTCTCACTGTACATTGGATGATTAGTGGTACAAAGCTGTAGACTCTCACTGTACATTTGGTGTTTAGTGGTACAAAGCTGTAGACTCTCACTGTACATTTGGTGTTTAGTGGTACAAAGCTGTAGACTCTCACTGTACATTTGGTGTTTATGGAGGCTCTCACTGTACATTGGATGATTAGTGGTACAAAGCTGTAGACTCTTACATTTGGTGTTTAGTGGTACAAAGCTGTAGACTCTCACTGTACATTTGGTGTTTAGTGGTACAAAGCTGTAGACTCTCACTGTACATTTGGTGTTTAGTGGTACAAAGCTGTAGACTCTCACTGTACATTGGATGATTAGTGGTACAAAGCTGTAGACTCTCACTGTACATTTGGTGTTTAGTGGTACAAAGCTGTAGACTCTCACTGTACATTTGGTGTTTAGTGGTACAAAGCTGTAGACTCTCACTTTACATCGGATGATTAGTGGTACAAAGCTGTAGACTCTCACTGTACATTGGATGTTTAGTGGTACAAAGCTGTAGGCTCTCACTGTACACTGGCGATGGGTGTTTAACTCTTTTCTCTCTAGCTAGCTTCTGGAGTTTATCCTAGATTTCCACTGAAAATATACCAAAATGCAATAGAACTAGAAAGCTGCAAAAAAAAATCAAGTCTACTACAACTATGTACAGGGATAAATACAGATAAATATAGATGTACAAACATTTGCATCGACTAGTAAAAGCAGGTTATTAAGAAATGTGTACATTGTTGATATACATTGGAAACATTCTAGTTCAGTGACATAAGTTCAGGGGGAACAGGTATGTAGACCTAATAAGTCATTGATGCAGAACAGTCTGGTTTTCAATTGGTTGTGATTTGGATGATGTAATACACTAGAACACCTGACAATGTTGTCTAACTGTCAATCATTACCATGGGCTATTTTCATAAATTCAAACCTTGACAATGAAGAGCTTTATGATAAAGAAAACACCAGTGGAATGGACACTTTGTGCAAAGGCTCTTTCTGCCTACCATATTTATTCAACGATAAGCCCATGTCTGAGAATGAAAAGCCCATCACTATTCATTGCTGTGAGGTAGAATTACAAACAAATGATATTCCATTGTACTGCAGTAAGCCCACCCTCTAAGTAAGAATTTTTGTGTTTGCTAGCCCTAGGGCATACTGGAGTATGATAACAAGTACTTGATAGTATTCAATGTTCAGTAATGTGAACTCCCCTGCTAGCTACTTCTGCTACTGATCGACCATCTGCTGATCCAAGCTATATTTACAGTTATATAATTAGGGGACATCTTTTTGACCTTGAAGCATTCACTCTGTGTAATTTAGTTGCCAAGAGAAATGTGTGTCATGAGTATATACCTTTGTTTATACATGTCTTAATTCTCACATAGGCCTACCTTTCATAACCATTCTTGCCATATTTTCACACAAAGGGTCTACCTTTCATGTTTATGTATGTCATAATTCTCGCCTAGGCCTATGTTTGTCTATACATATCTTAATTTTCCTATAGGCCTTTTGATATTGCTAAATGGTTGTGATTTTCTGATAACGTTTGATGCTGTTGAGACTTCTCATCTTGTCAGGTGTAGAATTCCCACCCAAAAGTTATTGTATATTGTACTTCATAAAGTTAATGAACATATGAACTGGAATCCTTCGTCTTGATTTTAAGAGAAATTTCCACTGCCATGGCATACAACAGTAAATAATGGGTATATTACTACCTTTACTACCAGTATAGATCTATTATTTGAAATATTTCAAAACATTCAGAAAAGATAGATAAAGAGCCCCAAAAAGATGGCAGTAATCCAGAAAAAGGGACTGGAATACCAGGTCATCAAAGAGGGACAAAAGAATCCAGTCCCGAAAAAGGGGGCAAAAGATTCTTAGTCCCAAAGAGAGGGCGAGAGAACAAACATCCTGATTGTTATTGATCAGTAGTGTAGCACAAATCTGTATGTTTGGAAAAATAGTAATTGCTTCTCTGGTTATAGTTAGATGAGATGTAGTAAACCTCCCAAAGATTTCAACCTTCTGAAGTGCCATGACGAAGTTAGGTTTGAGAAACTGCTTTTATCAGAACAAGTATGTATGAATGTAAATGTCAGACATATAGTCAATTGTTGCTTTTGTTCTTTTCTAAATAGATATGCTGCAAGTCTTCAATTATATTGTTGGATCTGACAGTAAAGGTGTCACTGATAATGGACTTGTTTTATATAGCCAGACAACGATAGCAGGTTGAACCTGTAGAGTTCATACCTGGCCAGCACTCTAGCTGTACAGCTATGTATGTAGCCAGCTTACAACTTTCCCATGCACAGAGCATTGAGAAGATAAAACATTTTGATTTACATATTGCCATCAGCTATATATCATCACTGGGGTCAATAACTCAGTTGACAGAGCGCAGTAAGATACATATATGGTCCTATAAAAATCCAATATATGGGGTGTTGCACTTAGGACTTCCATGTTGAAGATCTATTGATTTAAAGGAAGCAGATTTAAAGTAGAGAGTTTTTGTTTTAATGAGGTATGACAGATTTATTGAAGATCAGCTTCATTCTGGGAGAGCTGCAAAATTGAAAAATGGTTAATGGCACTTAAAACACTCGCAGCAATATAGAGAAATTGTCTAGTAATTTATTGAGATTTGTGTTGATGAAATGAGGATATGCAACATAGCAGGGTTTGATGATGGTCAGCAAGTATGGAAGGATTTGAAGTAAAACTAGTTTATTGTTTGGTTTGATCCATGGTCAGTATAAAGTGTACAGTCACACGAGAATAGTTTGATGTAATGCTGGTAATGTTTTGTTTGGTTTATAGCAAGTATGGTTGGATGTACAACCAATAAATACGGTATGACTGAAGGCAGGCGTGACTGAATGTATATAATTTGTGACACTGTTTTTGCGGGGTCAAATTTACTAAGATTTCAAGAATCTTTTCTCAACACCCAGATACAGTAGGATCAAATGCTCTTTAATGATGGAAGCATCATAGCTGTTTTACAAAAATTTGATGACCCCAGGGTCTCACATTTCCCCGTTGGGAGCAGGTAAAGTTTACTTTAATTCATATAGGAAAAATAGATTTTTGAGTATAATTTGTTTAATTATCATTGGAAATATTTTAAACTTGCTTAGAATTATAAGCAAAAGATGACAGCTTGACAGTATGCCCATATTGATGCTGGTTGATACAAAGGGGTTGAAAGGGGTCCCTATACCCAGATATGGTAGTATCAAATGCTCTTCATGGATGGAAGTGCCTTAAGGTGCTGACTCTCACTTTTCTTCCTGAAGAGGAGGTTAACTTTACTGTAATTTTTATAGAAAAATTGCGTTTTTGAGCATAGCTTTGTTTATCTCCCACTGGAAATAACGTTGTAAGATTTATTAGTATAGGATGGCAGTTTTGATGGTATGCATATATTGACACTGGCTTATTATTATCAATGTTACAATTTCTTTTTCATGACACCCTACTTGAAAGCTGCTTTTCCTTTAACATTTATATTCAATATTGCTTATCTGAGGTGACTATCTAAGACACTAGGCCTCTTGTTAAAAACACAACACAAATTGCAGTGATGAAGAATACTTCTATCCATATCTATCATGTGATTGAGTGTTATTAATTTAAAGTACTAATGCAGTTTTTTTGTGTGTTATATTGGTGTGGCTCATTGGAGTGAAAAATATCTTCAAACTTGTTTCATAAATAGCATATATGAAATGGGAATTGATGGGAGATCCTGTACATAAGAATTTTTCTGAAATATCAAAATTTATGGTCCAGTTATATGAAAACAAATCAACAGTCCAGTTGTCTCTGAAGATTATTGTACATTGTATTAACTTGAGCAGGAGAGCTGTGTACTGAAACTTTCTAATTCTGTTTTAGGACCAGGTGGGGAAATAACCGTCACACCAGGGGGTCCTACAGCTTCATCCAAGTGGGAGCCAGTATGAGTGACACTGAGGTCCTTGCCGAGCCTGTATATGGATCCGCATCAGACAAGGTAAGCCTTAAGTACAGGTATCTTAGATTTGTTATAAAGATGAGCCTTTTTGCTTGATCAGGCATCTAAGCTTATTTTTGTGCTTGCGATAATAGTTTCTTAGCAATTTTTAAATCAGAAAAGTTTGAATTTCTGCATCATTCACATCACAATTCTTATACCAAAGCTGAAAAATTGTCTTTTCATACAAATTGAAAAAGGTTATGAACCTTTAACAAATGTAACATGGACATGTGATATTTTATATTTTGTCACTGAGGTTTGACTTTGTTACAGCCACAATTGCTGTTTGCTGGGGAAGCAACACACTCTGAATACTACTCCACTACACATGGCGCCCTCGAAACTGGGAAGAGGGAGGCAGCACGTATCCTGGAGATGTACAACATGTGAGATACTTCATATCCAGTCAATGTTACCAGGGATCAGGGGACCTGTTAAATTTTCTTTTAGCCAAGAATGTACTGGAATGGAACATTTTAATGCAAGGAATCTTTGATGACAGATATTGACTTCCATTCTGTGTACTCTGTCCAGTTTCTCATGATTGATATTTGCAAAGAAGATTGGGGAGTTACATTCATTCTTTGTGTCGTTGGAAATTGAGGATCATGTGATTTATGAAGATATTGCAAACCTGTGCAACTATTTCATGAAAAATGACAATCATTCTGTCATTTTTTTTCTGTTCAACTGACAAATGCCAGGCTGACCATCAGTTTGTGATGGGAACATAACTTTGTGCGTATGGAGATATTTGTATGACGCTAAGATATATGCGACATGTATATTTGAATTGAAAGTGCTATCCTGACTGAGAGGACAGTTTTTGTAGAACTACTTCAATGTGTTTCGTGCAAAATTGTCTTTTTTCCAAGAGGAGATGAGACCCATGGATTACATTTTGTACGGTAACAGCAGATGTGTGGTTCAGACTTTTGTCACACATAAAGTAGGGTGCTTGGTTACACATGTGTTCAGCTCAAAGTTGGAAAGGAAGAACTGCCTGTATATATATATATATATATATATATATTCATGTATACCATAAGTGGATAGTGTTGTATAATCACCTATTGATCAGGAGACGGTAGTTGAGAAATTATATCCGTGATTGTGTGATTGATATCTACATCAAAGTGAATGAAGACAATAAAAGTTTGGATGTGTTAATTCCTTGTGTATGCCCTATTGTTGGTGAATATGTTGTAATGGATGAGTATAGATTTATGCAGGACCTTCAGTCTACCTGTAGGTCTTGTACTGTGGTGCTGAACCACACAATAATGTGTGTAAGGATTCCTTGTATAGACCAATGTCTGCATAAGTAAATACATTCAGGAACTGGAGGCTAGCACTACTGCACCTGAAAAAAATGTCCACCCATTGGAAGTGAGTTTGAATCAGCTATGTCAAGTTTGACTGAAATGTGATACTTGTCATTATAATAATCGGTCCTAATGTGTTGCTGTTTTAATTGTTTAATTATGGCTTTATTAGCAATGCAGGCCAAACTTGTCTTATTTACAAAATCTAGTCTTGGAGTTGGACAATGTATGGTCACTGTTAAAAATCATTATTGTATGTATCGATAGTTTGGTAGTTTTGGTCCTTTCCAGATCTTCAGTTGTCAGGAGTGAAAGAGGACTTTTATATCAGATGTGTGGTCATCACTGTGTGATGTTTTATATACTTCCATTTCATTACTGCTCTCTTCATTCATATGTCTTAGTAACAAAATTTAAAATTTGAAATATTGAGGGAAAATGGTTATGCTACACTTATCACAGCTTTATGTAAAATTGTAAATTAGTTTAAATCAAATGACATCAGAAAAAAAACTGACTAATAGGTTGCCATGGTGATGAGCATCCACTTAGCGTTTAAACGGAGTAGTTTTATGGATACAGATTTTTTTTTGCTTAAGTTCTCAGCAATGTAGACAAAACATTTACATACCTTGATCATAACAGTGAGTGTTCAATAATAAGGATTGCAGATTTTATTTATTTCAGTATTTTGCTATTTGAATTTGTATGTAGTGCATATATATTGATATTCTGAACTACAGTGGAAAGACAACAGTATTTAGGTATTTGTTTGATCAGTGGACGACTCATTAGGACAGGAATGTGAACTATACATTCATGTATTTCCACAGCTGTTTTTACCTCAGATCATATTGGATATTTGTCCATTGATACTATACATGGTGACACAGACAAGGAGTAGGATAATTGCTTGATATGTCAATTATTTAAGTATTAATCAGGTTTATGTGTAAATTTCTTGTCCCTTTATCTCCTGCTCTATACATTATTCTTGCCAGGTTTATATTTGCACAACATGCCTTTCTTTAGCATTGCATTCTACATAATCTATGGGTTTATACAAAAATTTTATCAGGCATCAGCTTCATATTTTCCACTTGAAATGAAGCGGAAATGTTGTCAGTGCAGTTACAAACCAATCAGTAATAAGTTTGTGAACTGTAAACTACATTATGCTACCCCAACATGTCACCAAACTATGTCTGTGGTATCAAGCTGATGTTAGATTTCATCACCTTGTGCCCCTGTCTCCACTCTTAAATCCACTCCCTTCTCACTTCGTCAGTGAGCTATGTCTGTGGTATCAAGCTGATGTTAGATTTCATCACCTTGTGCCCCTGTCTCCACTCTTAAATCCACTCCCTTCTCACTTCGTCAGTGAGCTATGTCTGTGGTATCAAGCTGATGTTAGATTCCACCACCTTGTGCCCCTGTCTCCACTCTTAAATCCACTCCCTTCACACTTAGTTAGTGAGCTGTGTCAGTGGTATCAAGCTGATGTTAGATTCCATCACCTTGTGCCCCTGTCTCCACTCTTAAATCCACTCCCTTCTCACTTCGTCAGTGAGCTGTGCCAGTGGTATCAAGCTGATGTTCGATTCCATCACCTTGTGCCCCTGTCCCCACTCTCTTAAATCCACTCCCTTCTCACTTCGTCAGTGAGCTGTCTGTGGCATCAAGCTGATGTTAGATTTCATCACCTTGTGCCCCTGTCTCCACTCTTAAATCCACTCCCTTCTCACTTCGTCAGTGAGCTATGTCTGTGGTATCAAGCTGATGTTAGATTCCACCACCTTGTGCCCCTGTCTCCACTCTTAAATCCACTCCCTTCACACTTAGTTAGTGAGCTGTGTCAGTGGTATCAAGCTGATGTTAGATTCCATCACCTTGTGCCCCTGTCTCCACTCTTAAATCCACTCCCTTCACACTTAGTTAGTGAGCTGTGTCAGTGGTATCAAGCTGATGTTAGATTCCATCACCTTGTGCCCCTGTCTCCACTCTTAAATCCACTCCCTTCTCACTTCGTCAGTGAGCTGTGTCTGTGGTATCAAGATTTCATTGACTTGTGTTTCTCTCCCCACTTTTAAGTCCACTCCCTCCGAACTTTGTCAGTGAGCAGATGCTGTGGTAAAAAGCTGATATTAAACTCATCACCTTGTGCCCTTGTCTCTACTTTTAAGTCTGATCCCTTCTCACTTTATCAGTGAGCCATGTCTGTGGTATGGAGCTGATGTTTGATTCCGTCACCTTGTGCCCCTGTCCCCACTCTCTTAAATCCACTCCCTCCCCACTTTCTCCATGGCATGCTCCAATTTCTGTCATTGAAAGATTTTATTTCAGCTTGTCTCTTGATCATTCTGATGTAAATATGATTTTAACAATGTTTAATTTTTTTAAAGACTCTTGTCTTCGTCAATACACCAAATTCTAAACAAAAAATGATTTAAATTGTTGTGTTGGATAAGAAATGGAATATTGGTACAAAGTGAGAAAGTTATTTGAAAATCAAGTATACAATCATTTGAGAGTATACTATTGTTCATATACATGTACTACTGAAAGTAAGTCTCATGATATTTAACATGATATAAGAATGTTTATCTAGGTATTGTTGGAAGTCATGTGAGGAAGAGCATTTTTTCCTAATTTTACTCTCACCTCAACCAAATCTGAATAGACTGACATTCTCTAATTGGTAAAATTTTATTATTGTTCTGTCAATATCTTTATTGTCACAGAGGGTGGTCAATTATTGTGACCTACCATATTCAATGCAAGTAAAATTATGAATATTCAATATTTAAACACAATTGTGTTGATTGATATCCGATTTCTTTCATGAAATTGGAGTTGGAACAACATTCGGAAACCGTCCAATGATATCCTAGCTTCAGTGTACATATATTTCTGACTTGTGTGTAGAATTTTTAGACCAGATTGTTCTAGACTTAGCGCAACAGTATATGTATTGAAGTTCTCAGGACTTACAAAAGTTACACAAGTTATGATCCAAATTGTTTCAACAGCAGTCATGAAAATGAATATTTCTCACATCTATATTCAAAGGCAATGTTAATCATGCGGCCAAAATATAGTTAGACCTGTGAACAATAATGCAGTTGTATAAAAGTGACTTTTAATTTGCTCAAACTAAGAACTAGTTGTGCTTGTGACTGCATTTTACCAGTTATGGATCTTTGCATTATCCTTATTTATATCCTATTTTTGTTACATTTTACTTTTTATGTATATTTTAGCAGAATTTAGAACAAGCCGTTTTAGTTGCATTCGAAACATAGGGATGAAATCGTTTCAAAGCCATGACATTGTTACACATGATTGTTGAGGAAGTGCCCTATACATCTACATGTTTGTTGAGAGTCAGTCATAGGACAGTTCATTACCAGTCCTCATTTCTGCTTCATAATTCACTCATATGAACACTGTACAGTGGTAATCCTCCTCTGGTAAGGCTGCTGAAAGTAATGGCTTTTTTCTCTCCTTTGTTTTTACAACACAGTGTTATGTCAAATCATTCCTTTAAGTTATGGCATATCCAGCAATAGAGCTAAACAGGGGAGGCTACGTTACCTACGATCCTGTACAGTGTGTGACGACAACAGGATGGTGACCAACAACTAAATATGAATAAAATGTTTGAAAACAGAAAACTTTCCCTTCTGTTTTTTATATTTCTGAATTAGTTACTAATATTTGATTTTCAAAAAGATAATTTAATGCATACATTTAGATCATCAAATACAAAGATGTGTTTAACAGCACTGACTCTATAATTAAGTGTGGCAACGTTAAAAGTAGTATCCAGTTGTTGGGTATAAAATACCACAAAAGAAATTTAACAACCACTGGTGCCTCATTCCTGTTAATGATATCAGGAAGGAAGACATTGTACAGTAGATACAAGGGTCACATTTCTGTTAATGGTATCAGGAAGAAAGACATTGTACAGTAGATACAAGGGTCACATTCCTGTTAATGGTATCAGGAAGGAAGACATTGTACAGTAGATACAAGGGTCACACATTCAGGAAGGAAGACTGTTACATGGGTCACATTCTGTTAAGGAAGGAAGACATTGTACAGTAGATACAAGGGTCACATTCCTGTTAATGGTATCAGGAAGGAAGACATTGTACAGTAGATACAAGGGTCACATTCCTGTTAATGGTATCAGGAAGGAAGACATTGTACAGTAGATACAAAGATCACATTCCTGTTAATGGTCTCAGGAAGGAAGACATTGTACAGTAGATACAAGGGTCACATTCCTGTTAATGGTATCAGGAAGGAAGACATTGTACAGTAGATACAAGGGTCACATTCCTGTTAATGGTATCAGGAAGGAAGACATTGTACAGTAGATACAAGGGTCACATTCCTGTTAATGGTATCAGGAAGGAAGACATTGTACAGTAGATACAAGGGTCACATTCCTGTTAATTGAAGAAGTAAGAAATACATTGACTATGGTCTCAGGAAGGAAGACATTGTACAGTAGATACTAGGGTCACATTCCTGTTAATGGTATCATTAAGAAAGACATTGTACAGTAGATACAAGGGTCACATTCCTGTTAATGGTATCAGGAAGGAAGACATTGTACAGTAGATACAAAGATCACATTCCTGTTAATGGTATCATGAAGAAAGACATTGTACAGTAGATACAAGGGTCACATTCCTGTTAATGGTATCAGGAAGGAAGACATTGTACAGTAGATACAAGGGTCACATTCCTGTTAATGGTATCAGGAAGGAAGACATTGTACAGTAGATACAAGGGTCACATTCCTGTTAATGGTCTCAGGAAGGAAGACATTGTACAGTAGATACAAGGGTCACATTCCTGTTAATGGTATCAGGAAGGAAGACATTGTACAGTAGATACAAGGATCACATTCCTGTTTATGGTCTCAGGAAGGAAGACATTGTACAGTAGATACAAGGGTCACATTCCTGTTAATGGTATCAGGAAGGAAGACATTGTACAGTAGATACAAGGGTCACATTCCTGTTAATGGTATCAGGAAGGAAGACATTGTACAGTAGATACAAGGGTCACATTCCTGTTAATGGTATCAGGAAGGAAGACATTGTACAGTAGATACAAGGGTCACATTCCTGTTAATGGTATCAGGAAGGAAGACATTGTACAGTAGATACAAGGGTCACATTCCTGTTAATGGTATCAGGAAGGAAGACATTGTACAGTAGATACAAGGGTCACATTCCTGTTAATGGTATCAGGAAGGAAGACATTGTACAGTAGATACAAGGGTCACATTCCTGTTAATGGTATCAGGAAGGAAGACATTGTACAGTAGATACAAGGGTCACATTCCTGTTAATGGTATCAGGAAGGAAGACATTGTACAGTAGATACAAGGGTCACATTCCTGTTAATGGTATCAGGAAGGAAGACATTGTACAGTAGATACAAGGGTCACATTCCTGTTAATGGTATCAGGAAGGAAGACATTGTACAGTAGATACAAAGATCACATTCCTGTTAATGGTCTCAGGAAGGAAGACATTGTACAGTAGATACAAGGGTCACATTCCTGTTAATGGTATCAGGAAGGAAGACATTGTACAGTAGATACAAGGGTCACATTCCTGTTAATGGTATCAGGAAGGAAGACATTGTACAGTAGATACAAGGGTCACATTCCTGTTAATGGTATCAGGAAGGAAGACATTGTACAGTAGATACAAGGGTCACATTCCTGTTAATGGTATCAGGAAGGAAGACATTGTACAGTAGATACAAGGGTCACATTCCTGTTAATGGTATCAGGAAGGAAGACATTGTACAGTAGATACAAGGGTCACATTCCTGTTAATGGTATCAGGAAGGAAGACATTGTACAGTAGATACAAGGGTCACATTCCTGTTTATGGTCTCAGAAAGGAAGACATTGTACAGTAGATACAAGGGTCACATTCCTGTTAATGGTATCAGGAAGGAAGACATTGTACAGTAGATACAAGGGTCACATTCCTGTTAATGGTATCAGGAAGGAAGACATTGTACAGTAGATACAAGGGTCACATTCCTGTTAATGGTATCAGGAAGGAAGACATTGTACAGTAGATACAAGGGTCACATTCCTGTTAATGGTATCAGGAAGGAAGACATTGTACAGTAGATACAAGGGTCACATTCCTGTTAATGGTATCAGGAAGGAAGACATTGTACAGTAGATACAAGGGTCACATTCCTGTTAATGGTATCAGGAAGGAAGACATTGTACAGTAGATACAAGGATCACATTCCTGTTAATGGTATCAGGAAGGAAGACATTGTACAGTAGATACAAGGGCCACATTCCTGTTAATGGTATCAGGAAGGAAGACATTGTACAGTAGATACAAGGACCACATTTCTGTTAATATTATTAGGAAGGAAGACATTGTACAGTAGATACTAGGACCACATTCCTGTTAATGGTATCAGGAAGGAAGACATTGTACAGTAGATACTAGGACCACATTTCTGTTAATATTATTAGGAAGGAAGACATTGTACAGTAGATACTAGGACCACATTCCTGTTAATGGTATCAGGAAGGAAGACATTGTACAGTAGATACTAGGACCACATTCCTGTTAAATGTAAGACATGAAGAAAAATTAAGAAAGTTAATGGTATGAGACAGGAAAGATAACTATTTTATTAAATTAACAAAATCGACATTTCTACATCAGTGATGTGCATCAATCTTTACTAATAGCACTACTAACACGGACAGTGTTCCCTAAGTTGTTATTTTGTAAATTTTCTTTTCTCAGAAGGTAACATGACTGTTTTTGAAATATATCACAGTTGATGCGGTATTGTACGACCTGTTTCCTTTATTCTGATTGCCATGAAAGATGAAACGACTGACATGATAACTTGTTTCGAGAGAAGCATGTTGGTGCTGATTATGGAGCTATGTTTTCGTTGCCATCCCATTTCATCCCACTGGCAGATAATCTTGCGTGATGTGAAAATGTGTGATGCTCGTTAGTATGTTTGAGGATATTGTTGGATTGACCTTGATTTTTATTTTTTTTCCATCGTTGTAGACGAAGATATGTATCCATCCAAAACACCTGATCACATTCGCCTTACACTGTGTGATAGGTCTTCTATTCATTCGTCTTTTTTGCCAATTTATTCAGTTTAGATAATTTTTGATGTGTCAATAGGCTTTCGTTGTTTTATTGAAACTTGGCGATAGCTTGTGCTAGTGAATGTTTTGTTCTAAAGCAGTCTTCACTCTGGAGCTATCTTCCAACAGTGTCTGTGGCATCCAATGTACAAGTATGTGGTAGAGTTGGTGACAGTTGGGACAGTGAATTAACAATTATTGTTCTCCACTGATAAATGAAGAGCACCCATATTTGTATTAACATTTCAACCTCACTGACCAAGCGATACTGACCGACGCGGTCATGCTGGCAGTGTATTAAACAAAAACTACAACATGGCATCATAATTCAAACTCCAATTCCATAAAACTAGGACAAAATATGAACAAAAGAAAGATTTACACGGAAACTCCTGAAAAAGTACAAGGAGAATAAGACCACTGCATGAAACCGTTCTCATGCTCAAGCATGAATTTTGTACGCAAGCCATATGTCTTAAGTTAAAAATTAATTAATAAGACTGATTTTGCCAAAGATTTTTTTTTAATTTGAAAGGACTTCAAGTCAAAGTTATATTCAATGTTTATATTTGAAATGTTTATTATTTTATATGATTTAGGCGAATTATAAAAAAGTTTGCTTAAGCACAAACTCTATGCTTGAGCATGAGAATGGTTTCATGAATACGGGCCCGGGGCGGGTGTTCCGGAAGAGTAGGTGTCTTTTGCTTCATCGATGAGCATCAAATACACCGAACTTCATGTCATACAAAACTATAGAATATCTCTTAATGAAATCACTATGACGACCATAAACTTTCCCAATAATTTTTATCAACCTGCATATTTTGTACCCGTATATTACGAGTATGTCAGTCAGTTGACGACTTCTTGCACGGAAATCCTGATTTTATATCCGACTCCTTAGTCCTGTCACACGGATACAATGACCCATAGATTCAGCACTTGTCCTGCCCGGGATGCTGTAAAACAATGACCTTTTTGGTTTTGTATTTGTTACATAAAGTTGTCGCTTTCGTAGTTCTGGGCAAAACATTGCAATATGTATACTGTATATTTCTTTCCATCACTTTTTCCTCAGTCGCCTTCATGGTGTCATGTTTTAGGTTCTTTGCATCACTGACGAATTCTAGAAGGACAGAACAGCTTTAGGATGCAGTTTTATCCATTGTTTGGTTCCACTGTATCTAATTCAAATTTTCAGCTCACTTGTGTCTTTTGTACAACCTATGATGACCGAAACTCCACTACAGCTAATAGTTCGATTCGCTTTCACTTACCGTAAAAAGGAATTGTCTCAGGCTAAAGCTTAACTTTGGAAAGTAACTTAGAGACTTCAATAAGACTACTTAAGCCTGCCTTTTGAATCAGCAACACTACTTATTAATTAAACCAGCAATTTGCCGATGCTTACATCCCACCGTACTTCTAATAAAGAAATAACCTTGCAATTTACATCGGTTCAGTTTCACGCAAACTGGAGATCTAATTCTT